TGCACGTTCAGATGGGCTTGCAGTGTCATGACTCTCGATGGTGGAGCTTGGGAAGTTGGCTTTTCATACAAGCTGAGCGGGGTCAGGACTTTCGGAGCAAGGCAAGCCCTGACGGGCCTGATTTAATCAGCCAACCTGGTTTGACAGAATCGAGAGCGCGGGTCGGCGTTCATGGCCTGAGAGTGCAGCACTAGTAGATGCCGAGTCTAATGGCCAGACTGCCCCAATATGCCCCAATGAGTGCTAGAAACGGCAAGCAGCAACTGAGCGAGTGTCAGACCGGGAAGTGCAGCTCTGAAGCTCAAGCTTTCAAGGGCTTTCAAAGCAGATCTCGACTTTCAGATGGCTTTGTCAACAATTCCGCATCCGGGTAGGTTAGGCTGGCAAGGGCTGGCCTCAACTGCGGCCGGTGCACTTGGACATCGCAAGACAGTGGGACGGCGACAGTAGCACGTGCTGACTGCTACGGGTTCCCCCGTGTACTCTGCACTACAGTTATTGTTTTTCTTTCCCAGTCGCAATACTACCCAACATCCATGAACGTCTTCGACGCCACACGCTATATGTCAGCAAAACACGCTAGTGTGGCAGACCGCGGCACCCATCGCAGTCAGACCGGTAGTGACGTTCAGGGGGCTTTTGAAGTGAAGTCATAGTCCAGTCTGACATGTTCTTGCCGTTACCACCGCAAGCGAGAATCCAGGTCTGCAAAGGAGGCAGGGCCCAACAACCGCAGGCACAAGGCCCAGCGGGATGCTTTTCAGCCTCCCAAGTCCGAATCCAACCTGGCCTTGGGAGGCCCGTTCCGTGCATCGTCAAATTATCCCCAAGCTCGGGCCTGCAGTAGATGGCTGATGGCTCCGCTGAGAACCTGAAGACTATGCATATTCTGAGACGTATCAACTGAAATTCAGCAATCTTGGCGATCTGGGTTGTCTTGAAGGCTTTTATCAACAAAATCCGGTTACAGCGAAGCGAGGATCGAAGATGCACCCAGTTTTGTTACTTGGATGCTCGCCATCAGACAGCGCGCACGATGAAGCATTGCGTGGAAAACGGAGCAGGCATCGTTACCCGACCCCGCATCCGCCCATGCCCACTCTGCGAAGTGCAAGGCCCGAGATATCCTGCAGAGAATACCCTCTCAACCGAAAAACCCTACATCGGGGAAACGAGCTGCCAAGCTTGTTGTCAGTGCTTGCTGTTGCTGGCAAACGAACTCCTGAGGCTCTAGAATGGTTTCGGTTTCGGGCTTAACCATTCAGAGTTTTAGGGCTGACGCGGTTTGAGGCTTGGGGCATGCACCTTGGGCCCATTTGAGCCCTCAGCCCACAAAGGCCCCGCAGTTCGGGAAGCGACCTTGTACTTTGAATGTAGTGGGTTTAGAATTTAAGGATAATACCGCGAGAGAGAGGTGATTGCCGGACGCAATTTGCGGTGAACGCGTTGAAGAACGAAAGAGACGGGCTCAGCGTCAAGGGAACAAGGGCTGCCCAGCAGCAATCCTCCCTTATTGCGCTGCCCCCACGGGGAAACCATGTTCATCGAAGCGGATGGTCGCTTCATCGTTTGGCATGCCCGACCTAGGCGGTCCTTGCCATGAAGATTGACACACACGGCGCGATCAGTGCTCATTCATTCCTGGGCCTAAAAGTGTAAAAGCACGGCGTATGCACAGACAAGGCGTAGGACCCAGGAAAGACACAGAGGGTGAGGGGCCACCATCTTCAAGAGTGGTGTACATGCTGTGACGCAGCATTTGCTTCCAAGCAGCAACTTCCACAGAAGGGACTCCTGCTCGTACCAGCCATGGGAGGTGTCTACCACAACGCCTGCACCTCAGGAAGAATCGCACTCAAGCCACTTGAATGACAGTAGTTAGTTGATGCTGAGGACTTCCCTGCACGCCGCTTTTTCGCCAACACCCGGGGCCTTTACATCACCGAGCCAATGGATGAAGAGACAGCTCGTGCCAAAGCTCGGAACTTGATGGCGGGCGCTGGCGAAAGGATGAGCTGTGTAGCATCCCCAAACCCCCAAAGCCCTGCACCCAAAGACTCAAATCTCCCACGCCTAAAGGTGGTTTCCTGGGCCTTTGTCCTTCAAAAGCTTAGCAGCTTGGAGCTGGAAACGCCCCGGAAAGGCTCTCGGCTTGGAGCCTCCGCGCTTCCACCTCTTCGCCCGGCTTGCACAGGACAGCTTAGACAGCGGCCGCCTGGAGCAGGAGCTGAGGAGGTTGCAACACGAGAGAACACACTCGAAAAGTAGTTCATGAAGCACGGATGGTAGCAGTGCGTTCCTGTACGATGCGCGGCATATCATGCATGCGTGCATGTAAGTATGTCAGTATGTAATGTTATGTATGTTTTTATGTAGGTAGGTCGGTCGGTCGGTCGGTCGGTGGGTGGGTGGGTGGGTGGGTGGGTGGGTAGGTAGGTAGGTAGGTAGGTAGGTAGGTAGGTAGGCAGGTAGGCATGTATGTAGGTATGTATGTATGTATGTATGTAGGCATGAAGGTATGTAGGTATGTAGGTATGTAGGTGTGTGTGTGTGTGCCTGTATGTATGACTAATGTCTGTATGGTTGTTGCATGGATGGATGGATGGATGGATGGATGGATGGATGGATGGACGGACGGACGGACGGACGGACGGACGGATGGATGGATGGATGTGTGTATGCCTGTGTGTATGCATGCACGTATGTATGTGTGCATGTATGTATGTATGTATGTATGTATGTATGTACTGTATGTATGTATGTATGTATGTGCGAAGGTAGGTAGGCAGGCAGGCAGGTAGGTATCTATGTGCCCATGGCTTCCGAGACCGACAGTCTCGTTCCAGATCTCTCGGGAAGCAGTTCAGCTAGACCTACGAAATAACTGCCAAACCCCGTTGTTTCCAACTCCTGGACCCTGTTTAAGATTTTGATAGATTTTGCAGTAGTGTCACTTTGCCTTGACACTGGCTGCACCTGGGTGACCTTTGTTGCAGGAGAGTGGCTCTCCTGGTGTCAGGGACGTGGTGGTGATGGGTAGCAGGGATGGCCAGCGCCAAGGCTAAGGCGCGCCAAAAGGAACGCAGGGGCTGACAGCATGGCCAGAGCGTATTGTCAGGTGTTTCTTGTTACTTTGCTGCAAACTGCCGCCAGAGTGCAGGTGTGATTCTCCGATATCGTCTCCTTGTGGAGCGAACTTTTGAAGATTTTGGAAGGGCAGGGTATGTATGTGTCTGGGGATCTCGAGGAGATCGGAGTTGCAAGCTTGGCTTGCTTTTCCCGGCCCAGCCGTCCATTCCAGATTTTGTGTGCGCAGGTGAACTTTTCTTTGAATGCGTGTAGTGTACGGAGATTTCTAGATTGCTGCAGAAGTTTGCCTGCGCACGGAAAGACAGCGCAGGTGCCACAAAGGTTCTGTGCTAGTTTCAGTAGGTCGTTGATACAGCATCGAAGCACAGGTGCAAATCCTTCCGTTGCCAGTGGCTGCGGGTTTGCACCTCTTGAGCATTAGCTGCCAATGGGACATGCATGGTTGGGGCAGCCGGGCCACTTGCGATCAAACGCAAGAGGTCGCCTCGAGGACGTCAAGAAAGGCGGTGGGCGACCGATGGCCATGTGGCTGAACTAAGGGTGATACAGACAGGATGCCTGTGGGCACTCCAGGTTTCTTGCAAAAGTGACTTGCGAGTGGAATTTCTCAATTTGAACCTCAGTTTTTCTGACCTCCCTTGCGGATGCCATACAGTCAGGCGGCCCTGGACAATTCTATACTCGAGCGATTTAGCAGATCTTCGATGGTGCCGCTCTGGTCACAGCACCTGCAGACATGACCGAACTCCCAGTTTCCCTGAGGGTGTTTATCTGGGAGATGCAGTCAATGATTTTCAGTAGGAAGGTCAGCAAGCAACTTCCCTGTCCGTGGCCGATCATGGCACCAAATGCAACAGACTCACCCCAGATCAAGAGAAGCTCAGGTGCATACACAAGCACCAGGAAAAACATCAAACAACTAGATCACTGTGACTGTGTGCAGACAGAGGAAGTGGTGTCGTGGAGTGCGCCAGCTTGGGAAACTTGCACACAAGCTTGCAAGTGCGGCTGGTGGCCATGTCTGCGGAAATTTCGCATCTTTCCGTGTGCAGCATCTACCGAGACTCAGGTAGAGAGAATTCAACTGCACAGCTCGCAGGCACAGCGATGATTCACCCTCATCATTAGCAGTTTGAATGTATCCGTGGCAGCACTATTCGAAGCTGTTGATGACTTTTGCCGCCGTGTCGCAAAGTTTTATTTCATCACAGTTTTCAGCCCTACAGGCTGTTTACACCTGCTGCGCAGGTGCCACAAAAGCCCTGTACAGAAAGGACTTGCGCGCAACAGGCCATCTGAAGCAAAGCTATTCTGCAGCAGATCTGCGACTCGTAGTTTGCAGCGATCCTATCGTCTGGCAAGCCCTCGTAATCCTGGGAGAGAGAGAGAGAGAGAGTGGCAAAGAGAGAACGTTTCTGTGTCGTTTTATCTCAGGCCCAGGCTTGCAACTTGCCACGCGGGGATGTGCTGTGCTGCATCCCTATTCAGCAGAGCCTGAATTTCAACGGATGGTTGTATCTCAGGCAGAGGTGGTTGCGCAACACCGGCCCTTGATCCAACGCAGCAGATAATTCAAGCTGGCAGCTCACCAAGGTGCCACCTAAAGGACTTGCGGCGAAGTCCTACGGCGCACAGATGGTAAATCTTGTTGCCTTGTTGGTGTCGAGCCTTTCTGTTCATTTTGATTGAGCCTCATTGATGGCATGTGCGGTCTCCCAGTATGCACGCCAAAAGACTGCAGCTGTGAAGCATGGCACGCGGTGTAGCTGACAGCCCCTCCTGCGTAGAGCAGTTGCATCGGCGCGAGCAGAAAGAACCGTGCAGCAGGTAGGCATATGCAAGACTTAGACGTGCTAAGAGCGGGTAGTTTCAAGATTACAAGACCTGCCTAGAAGTTCAGTGGCACTCAGGTGACAATAGTCTTGGTGCAGAAGGGCATGCGCTTCATAGCCTTCGACGCTTGGCGCATTGTAACACGCAGGACCGGCAGCGCCGCAAGAACAGCTCACTACCTTTCAACACGGCTTTTCTTGCAGAAGTCTCCCGAAGAGTGTCACATTCTCTGGAACAGACATAGCCCTCACGGGTGCCATGGCCGCGCTTTGTGATGACGAGTTTTCAGCATCATAACTCAGGGTTTAGGCAGGACTTAAAATGTAGGAATTTGGTAGGGTTATTGAACAGTGGACCAACGCAGTCGCAACAACGGTGGAACTGCCGTCATCATGGAGGCAAGGCAAGAGCATCATAATAGTGGTAGCAACTGGTGGAATAGCAAAGCTGCGCAGGTGGCCTAGAGCCCGAAAGCATTGCATTACCCGGTAGCCAAGAACGGACGGCCGGGCCGTTTGTCAGAGCCTGCGTCTGCCGAGACCAGCCAGTTCACTGATGTGACAGACGTCGTAATCGGCCTGGGCCGCGTGTTCGTCCTGTCCCGTGGCGGTGCGGACGGCAACAGCGTCGCTCGGCAGAGAGAAGTGCATGGCCGATTTCTGTTGTTAGCTGGAAGCTGCATGGACGCGAGTGAAGTGCACAAGATTTGAAGTGTGTGCCATGGAAGTGTGCCACCTATCTTCCTAGGTCCTCTTCGAACTTCGGGAGAAGCCACTGGAAGAGCGACTAGATCCCGCCTCAAAGGGAGCCCAGAGCCTTCATGGACTCTGAGGTGCTTTCAGCAGCCGTCTCGACAGCATACGCCATTTCGGTGATGTGTCCAAGGATGTGCTCGTGAGGAAGCGCATGTTCGAGTGGGCTGCAGAGGCCCAGAAAAACTTGGCGATTGTCTAGTCTATGGCTGCAAGCACCTTCGTTCCTCAGAAACAGGCGATCTACTGGTTCCTTAAGGCCCAAAGCATGATCCGAGAATCCTTGAACATCCTCAGCCCAGAACCTTGAACCCTGAACCCTGGAGGTGGCCTTGTCTTGCAGTGCCGCACCAGAGGCGAGGGCATGGCTCCAACCGTTCCGAGCAGTCAGCGCAGCAATAGTGATACCAATAAATCTCGTAATCGAAATGATTATAAGTTAAGAACTGGAGTGACCAGAGCATGCATGAATGCCGCAATAATTGCGTGGCATGTACAATCGCAATGGTAGTAGTGCCGGCGTTAACACCATTTAACACCCAGTTGTGCGCGAGGTGACTGCCGACATCTACCGGCAGCACGGCGACGCCCTCTTCGAAAAGAGAGCGTATGATCAGGCAGGGCTGTTCTGAGCTGTGCGAGGGTGGTACTGTTTCATCCGACTATATGTACCACCATTCGCCCCACCCGTCGCCCTCGAGTTCAGCCCCGAAAAGCCGCAAAGCCCCAAGTACGGTGATAAATCTCGACGCACCGAGAGCACCCTGCCTACTCAAACCGTGCTCTCATTCGGGGGTGACGAGGTTAATTTGTGCAGCTCTCCCAAATCGCCAAGGGTAGTACCCTTTCCGTGGCTTGTGTCGATGCTGTTCATCTTGTGCTCTGCAAGGGCTCTGACATATGGGAGTTTCCGAAAATAAGGGGTCCTTACTTTGGGGTCCTTATAATAAGGATCCTATTATTTAGGGTACTATACTAGGGTCCCCTATTTTCTGAAACTCCCATATGTAACGAGGAAGCATGTGTGCAAATTGGCTGGCTCTCTCCGTTTTCTTGTTGTCCGTTCGCTGCCGTGGGCCAAGGCTTTGGGCGTCTACGTGAAGACCGTGGAGTTGGGCCTTCCACTGGAGCCATCTTATGTCGTGGAGAGATACCTGGATGCCCAGAGGCAGAGCAAGTGCACCATGCGTGATGCTGTGTGGTATGAATAGGCTCTTGGACAAGTGTATAATCCGAGACTAGGTGCCAAGAGCCCTGCAAATAACCCACTGAGTAACGAGCATGGTGTGATGAAGAATAGCTCGTCCTTCCTTGTCGTGCTGGACAGAATCGGCCATGTGGCACAATACCTCAAGAAGCTGCACGAGAAGGTCGGCCGAGGGTCCCGCAGTGCGGTTTTGCACGAGAGGATACGTGAGTTCCAGAAAATAAGGAGGCCCCATGGCGGTACAGATCGGACTTGTTGCTGGCTCCTCTCTGGGCATCTCTCAGTTGAGAAGCCCCCATATGGTGCACAAGCAGCATGGAACAGCTGACAATCTAGGTTGAGAGGGCCAACAATGTGTGCCGCCATCCAGTCTGGCTCTGCAGCCCATGCATATTCATGGGCACCGTTACGGACCAGCCACTAAAGGGACCTGAAGGGCAGAATGAAGAAAGTGCGCAGCACGTGCAGAGAAGCGCAGCAGAGGGATAAGCTGATAAGCTGGTAGCAGCTGGTGCAACGATCTAGAGTCTAGACCTGGGCAGATACCACGACCTCCCCGATCTGCCACCGTCTGCTGTATGATTGCCTCCCCCGCCCTCCTCCACTAAACTTCTCTGGGCGCACATGTGCCATGGAACGCCGTCCGATGCGAACCAACGATGCCACCGACGCACCGCAGGATGCTGCTGGCGAGGCAAGCGCGAAAAACAGTAATGTGCCGATTCGAAGTCACCAGAAATTTGCCGAAGGCTCTCGATATGCTTCGTTCACTGCTGGTGGCACATATCGGCAAGCGCTCCAAGAGAGTCCTGGCTTTCAATATCTCATATATCCCCCATCCCTTCTTCGCATCGTCCGAAACACCCTCCCCGCCTTCCCCATGTGAGAATCCAGGTGACATCCTGAGCATTATGGCGGATCCCAGTTTGCCTTTCCGCCTTTACCCAGAGCACCAGAGGCGTGACAGCCCGGCAGCAGGAATCGAGACGCTGAGATGAAAGCGGTTGTGTCTCGGGAGGCACTACGAGGAGTACCTCACTGCCTTTGAGGTACAGGGTTGGGTGCAGCCTTTGCACTTGAACTGCGGCGGCCGTTGTCCTGCTGACTGTCGAAAACTGTGTGCAGGAGGTGCAGATTCCTCGGGCCCTGGGCCGGAGGCTGGAAGATACGGAGAAGGCCATGCAATTGCCACAAGAAGGGTCCTGTTTACTGCGGAAGCCACCAGTTCCGTGCAGATGAATGCACACTCGGCATTCACCAGGCAGTCCAGCAGGATCCAAGCTGCTACGAATCTGAACCCCGAGAGTCGCGGACCCTGTCGGGGTCCCTCGTTTACATCCCTTGATTTGCACTCTCACTGCTCAATGTCTCTGCCGCTTCACACCCCTCTGAGCCCGGAACACTATGGAATTTCTCCTGCGTTATTTCCCGCTGGTCATGTTTCGGGACTTGAGGACCCTGCCAGGACATGTCTCAGCTTGCGAACGCCGCCTGCACGAGACCTCGCATCAACTCTCTAAACTCCAGATCCTCGGCCCCACGCCGTCAAACAAGAACCTATCAAATCACATTCGAGAGAAGCCCCAGGCCCCAGCCGACCCCCCGTTCGCTGACTTTGGCGACATCCAGGCAGAGGTGGCCCACATGGAGAACATAGCGGGCGAGGCAGGACGGAGCTTAGGTTTTAGGGTTCAAGGCCAAGCGCGGATTTTCGTTAAGTTTAGGAATTGGGGCCTCGTCATTGAAGTTTTGGGCTCGCAGTGCCCGCCTCTCGCCAAGGGCTTCCTGCCTCGCACGACTCTGGCTGCAGTTTTTGCCCGGGCAGCCTACGGAGCGCTGATGCGCCAAGAGACTCGGCCGAGAAAGAAGATCAGAGAGCGGCTCGGATAGGAAGTTCTGCTTTTCGAAGCTGTCGGGGGCTCCCCGTGGCGCGTGGCGGGTGGATTGCAAAGGCTACAACTTGTCGGCCTGTAGTAGAATGGGGTATCTCTGCCTGTTGGAATTCTCGGGTTCTTCGTCGCACCCGGTGCTCAGCTTGAAGGAAGCCTGGGCCTTGTCTATGTAGTGTCTCAGGTATGAGGCAGTCGAGGAGCAGGGCACTCTCCAGTTGCTTACAATCTTACAAACGCTTTTGTCAGGGCGCTGGGGACCGAGTTCGTGGGTTCCTTGGTGGCGCTGCTCGATCAGCGGCTGGCACATGGGATGCAGAAGCCCACACCGAGGCGCCCGAAGAAGCGGGGAGAGCCTGAGGGACTCAATCGGTGGCTCTGCCTATGTGCTGCTTATCCGCAGGCTTTTGTGGAGCTGACGGGCGCGCAGCGGGCGGACATAGTAAAGGCACAGTGGAGTTTTTGGCCGCAAAGTCAGTCTCGGGTACCTCAGACGGATATCGGGACGTATTGGGCACTCGTGTCGCACTTCAATGGGTTTGTAGCAAGATATGCAGGAACCGATTCATGGTGGATTTCCTGTGACCTTCTCGGCTATACCATCACAAGAAGAGATTTACCCATAGTATTCCTTGTAATAAATGTGGTATTCCTTATCTAATTATAGTACTCCTTATTATAAATACAGTATTGCTTATTATAAATAAATATAGTATTCTATACCCCCAACCCCCATTAAACTCAGGACGGAAAGACCCTTTGAACCGGCCTACGTGGTCTTCTGGGTCCATCGGATGCGCTGGTCGCTGGGCTGCCGCCGTGATAAAGAAGGGACGTGAGATTAGGGTATAGGGTATTATAGGGTTTTATAGGGTTTAGGGTTTAGAGTTTGCTCCTGGCATCTTTGGGACAGATTTTGAAACAGGGGGGTGTCTCCTCTTTCCGCCCGGTTCAGCATCGCAGGAATCATGCTAATGCAGCGACGAATTTCAAGATGGGACTGTGTCAGGTTGGTGCTTGCAGTGCGGGGATCTTGCGAGTGGAGCGCTGTGCTGACGGATGTGGCTGCCGAGGCGCTTCGTCGGGGAAGCCCCAACTTTGGCATTCAAAGCCTGTACTTGTAACTACTGAAGTTCGCAGACAGCTATCATAGCTGGCAAGACGCTTTCACACTCGCTCCGCAGGAGAGCCTTGTGGCGGGCGGTTTGGCCCACAGCGGGATGGCACGTGCTGCAAGGTGGGGTCGGTTGCCACTGTTCATATGACCATACATAGACGTGCTTGAGCACTCACATGCGAAAGGCGACATATCAAAAGCAACAGCACTTCAAGACACAGCGATAAACCAAAGAAGCAACGGGTTCGTGGCGACCACCTGTCCAGCCACATGATGCGACTGCAACCAACTCCCGCCTGCGCCGCACTGGACAGGTGGATCCTCAGCACTGCAGGGGCCTGCATGGCCTCGGCTCTGCAGAACATCCCAGAGTACCGCCTCATCTGCACCGGGCACTCCCTCGGAGCGGATGTGGCCGAACTGGCCGCTCGGCAACTAGAAGCCCTGAGTGAGCAGAGACCATGGACCTATCACCTGGCACGTCCTGGCACTTGAAGTGCAGCAAAGAACTGTAGGCTCAGTCTTTCGCATCTATTGGAGGTGGCCATCATGCTGCGAGAAGGCGACACCGGCGCCGTCTCCATTCCTAAGAGCTGGGGATCTAGCGCAGATCCAGAGGCCAGAGGCATGGAGACCCGTAGGCCATGTAGCGATGGCATAGACAGCAGCATTCACATTGTGGGTTGGAAGAGGGTGGCTGGCAGGCTCTTGACGCCTTCCTGAATGTTGAACCCGTGCTCGAGAAGGGCTACAAAGCGGATGCGGGCAAGAATGCCGCTAGCACAAACAGAAAGTCCAGAGTATGGTGGTGTGGTGTGCGAGCCCAGAGCAAGTCCTGAGGATCTGGGTGCAGACTACCCAGTCGCAATGCGGAAGGCCTTCGCCTACGGCTTTGGTGCATCGCCGACCTTCGGCGCTGTGTTTCTAAACTTTCAAGCTTCAATCGTCTGAAGCGACCGTGAGATGCTTTCAAAGTCCTCGTGAGCCAGTCAAGGCATGAGCTCTGAAACTCTGAGGATTGTGTCACCAGAGCTGGCTAGCCGCTGCGCTTCTTATGTCTGTGCCCTGGAGAGCTGTGGCAGCGACTCTGGAGGTTACGACGGCTGATTGCAAGGCAGTAGAACAAGCTTTGTCGGAAATGGCTAAGTTCCAGAGAATCCGAGAGTTTGGTCATGTTCGAAACCCACAAGGTCATGTCCACAGCCTTCGATGCCGATTATATCACGCGCGTCTCTGTCTTCGGCATCGACAAGCTTATTCTGCAGCTTACGGACGCTTGGACGGGCCCGTGGCTGTAATCTGCGTGAGAGAAATCTTTCAGTCGGCCAGGCCCACTCCTTCGAAGCCTCTTCAGAAACCCAAATTTTGCAGGATCCGAAGAAGTTATATGTCTGTACTCCTAAGGAACGGAGCGCGCCAAACATGGCCAAGCAGTGGATATTCCAGAAACTGGGGCGCGCAAGTGGCCTGGCCGCACCTATCGTCGGGATGCCCTTTAAGTGAAACCCGGAGATACACAGGCTACTAGGCGACCCTGAGCTCCTAACCGAACCTCCCCCCCCCCTGACACTTCAAAGCCTGCCTTCGTCTTCCCAGAAGCTCTAAGACTCTGAGTCGGTGCCCCGTTGTTAGATGCCTCACAGCTTCGCGAATCTTGCAAAGCTGGCCGAAGACCCGAAAACCTGGAGCCTGTCCTCGGACCATCTCTGGCTAACTCGAAGGCGAAGGCACATCCGCCAGCCCTCGTCTGAGGGCGTTCGGTGCCGAGTCCCAGGTGCCGGAGGCCATATGGTGTGGAATGAGTTGCGCGATTTGGAGGATGTTGTATGTGTGTGCCTATGCGCTTGTGCAGATAGGTGGATACACGCAAACACGAATCCACCCATCCATGCATCCAAGCATCCATCCATGCATGCATATATCCATGCATGCATATTTACTATAGCTACCATACTTGTGTTGAAGTGAGGTCTAGGCTTAGGAGGTTCAGCAGCGGAGGTTCTCGTGTTGAGCGCTCGTGTGATGGAAGGTTCTCTGCACTCCAGGGAGGCTGCTTCATATGGACTGTCGGGGTGTTGGCATGTCCACCTCTCCGACACGACTATTCTGGCAGCGTGGCTGTGTTTAATGTGTTTTTGGCTATGTTCCCAGCCGACAGCCACCGCATGCATCAGGAGTGATCTTTGCAATAGTCAAGAGGCTGGCCGAAACTAGAGGAAAGTCGACTAGAATGAGGTCCGACGATGTTAGCTGCACCTCACGATGCTGATCATGATGATGGTGATGGTGATAATGATGAGGATGATTAAGATGAGGATGATGGTGATGGTGATGGTGTTGAGGAGAAAAGGATGAGAATGAGGATGATGAAGATGAAGATGAGGATGATGAGGAGGAGGAGGAGGATGGTGATGATGCTGATGCTGATGATGATCATGATCACGATGATGATGAGGAGGAGGAGGACGAGGATGACGATGATGCACATGATAGGGACGAGGGATGAGGAGGGGGGAAGGAGCTTTGACAAGTAGCATTCGCATTAGAAGTAGCGGTGTTCGGACTTCCCAGTTCGACGTTTGCAGGTATTGCTCTTGCAACTGTTGCGCTACAAGGTCGGCACAAGCTGTATGTTACGATGAATCAATCCCTCCCAACCACCCCGCCCCGATTGAAAGCAGCCGCAGACATCTTCAAAGTCGGAACAAGCACCCGAATAGCAACAAGGCTCCCGTGCCGCAGAATCTCAGAAGCAACCCACGATCAGAAGGCAGCTGTTCGTTGAAATTACGCGGACCAACCCCCGATTTAGAAACGAGGGCCCCAAAATCGGGAAAGAGCCGCTGCCGTTGTTTTTGCCGAAGGCACCTAGGTGGATTGGTGGTGCCTCATTGCCTCCAAAACTTTGGGTCGCTGTGCGAACTTTCAGTAGCCAAGGGGACCGCGAACTCCTCTGAAGCGTCATCCCCACGCGGCATCACCTGCAGCGTTTGCGAGTCAAGTGAAATGTCCAGATAGAAGTCTCTCTGATGCCTGCTCCAGAGGTTTCACCCGAGGTTCGTGCCCTGCAGCATGAGTTTGCCCTGCTTCGGGAACAGATCCGCGAGGAGTTCCTGGACTTTGCCGAGCGGCTGAAGGCCCTGGAGACGTCAAAGCCGGAGCTCTCAGGCAGCGGGCACAGCGGGCTCAAGATCAGGGCTCCGGAGCCAACAAGCAAGGAGGACAACGAGGAGAAGAATGGCCAGAATCTGGAAGACCTTGAACTGCAGCCTGGATCCGAAGCTCTCGGGACTCAAGTTGGTCCGGTGCACTTCGGCGAGAGTGCCTGGACCTTCCCGGTGATTCTGGGTTTGACCAGTGCAAGTGCACTCGAGGTGGTTTTTGCAGTGTTGCTCCTGCTGATAAACTTGGGAATGCAAGTCATGTTTGCAGAGGTTATTCTTGGGCCCAGCTTCATGGGGTCGCCTTTTGAAGAAGAAGTCGACACAGCCAGACGGTGGCGAGCAGGAATTGCGCATGACTACAAGTACATGGATCTGCAGCAGACCAGCCTTGCCACTCGGGTGTGCAGCGCAGATGGCGCCCTGATCTTGTCAACGGTTCAAGCTGGATCCTAAGTCGGACGTTGCTTTGACTTTCCTGTCCTTGGGGCTCTGGCATGTCCCGACACATGCAGCATGTCGATTGCTACCCCCTCTCATGTCCACAGTGGTTAGGTTTGGATTGTCTTGGTCTTGGACGGACATATCAATGAACTCAACGGCGGTAGCAACACAGCAAAGAGGGAGAGGCACGAGGCAACAAGGACCGACCACCAAGTGCCAAGAAACAAGCCGACCCAAGCCACAAGCCATAAGCAAAAGAGTGTCAGAAGAGACTACAGAATCCCTGCCACATCATCGAGCTCAGTCGACATTATGTGGCCCAAGAACACTCTAGATCATGTGAGGCGGTTCTCGAGGCATGTGGGTGAAGTAGAGAAGTAAGTAAGATAAGTGAAGATCTTGCACATGTACTTGCCTCATCCCTGTTTTTTATTCTGCTCGTGCCTATGTGCGAGTCTGATCTGGGTCCCATGTTGATTCGACCTGGATTTGCAGGCAACGCTGGTAAATCACATCAACGCCTTCATGGGACTGAGCACCAGTGATTTTGTCCCGGGAACGTATCAGCCTGGTATTCTGCTCTGCGTTCTTTGCATTCTTCTTTGGAGCCTGTGTGTATACAAGGAGTTCAGGAATATTCTCTTATCCGTGGAAGCTATCCTCACGGTGCCTCTCACGCCAACGACCGTATATAGAGACAATACACTTCACAGTCTGTCTAGGACACGCCAGCAAGTCCTGCTGGTCACGTTTTTCACTCGTACTGTGATTGCTTCTGTGCTTCTCATTGCTGGAATCAGATGGCTCGCCCGAACTACGTCGATTACAGATTTGATGCTGAATGCCGTCGCACTGAATGCCATTCTGGACGTTGACGAGTGGTTATTTGCTGGTTTCTCCCCTATTTCCATCGAGCTGTCGGTGAAACAGTTAACGCCGATCACTGTCAGCTACAGTCAACGCCGGAGTCAAGCCGAAGCGGTTGGACTCCTTGCTCTGCTACTCACCACGTTGCTTATTCCGTACGTGGTTCTGCTCCAGCCCTTGGGGCAGACGATGAGTGACGTGAAATGGGAGATGTGTGCGGGTAATCAGAACTTCGTCGTGGTGCAAAATGCCGAAACGCAGGTGATCACGGGCATGGATACAAAGAATTATTCCGCCGCCGATATCTCGGTAATTGAGCGGGCAGTGCAGCGCCAGATCCACTCTGCTCGCGACGAAGTATCATACTACATATCCTTCCAGCCTGGGCAACAGCAGTTTGAGCTTCAGAAAAATCACGACATGCACTCCGACCAGGAGCAGTGGACAGCCTGTGTGGAGACTGACTATCTGCAACCAGGAGGATACCTCTACGGGGATCCTCTTATGGGGACTCTGGTCCCTCCTCGACTTCATACTGCCTTGGCCATGCTGGGGGACTTTCGGGAGATCGGGAACTGCACTGAGGTCCAACATCTCTGCGACCTGCCCCAGGCGCGCCTGCTGCGGATGGTCTGTGGCGCCACCTGCGGCTGCACCGATCCCCTGAGCCAGCCTTTCCACAAGGCATGGCCCCCCCCGCCCCCCGTCCCCGCCTAAGCGCCCAAAATGGTGAGCTGCTAGCCGTAATTCGTGCAAGTATCCGCGCATGTCATTCCCTGAACTGCGAGGTGATCCGGGGCGGTTGCACGGAGTCCTGCCTGAAACTCAATGATCCGTTGCTGGGCCAAGTTGCTTGCAAGGATCAGGTGCCAGGCGAGGGTGAGAGCTCCGAAGGATGGCAGGCGCGATGGGAAAGCTTTTGGGACATCTACCCAGATGCCTTGTCTGATTTCTTCGGCAACGACATATCGCAGACAGTGATTTATTCAAACATCAAGAACCTCGTCGCTGAAATGAAAGTCAGAGGGTGTCCAGGTCTTTCAGACCCGACCCTTCAACTCGAAATCACCAGCTCAGCCAAGTGGTGCGAAGGCTTCGAGCCCTTGTTCCGACCTTTGGCCTACATCTGTCCAGAGAGCTGCGGCTGTCACTCGTCAGTGGTGCTGCCGAACTACTGTCCCAGCTCATGTGAAAATATCACCGCATGAGCTCCAAGAGCTCAATTGAAGGGCCTCATCGCAGAATCGTTCACATTCGTTTTAGATTGAAACGGTGAGAGTTGGCTCCCCACCCGTCCGCTGCGTGAGCCATGCAAAGCATGGTGCAGCACAGAGGAGTGCAGAGGCCTGTGCAAAGGGCTGTGCGAGCATTAGATCCTCATCAGATCCGGTTCAGACGGTTCGGCTCTGCTTGAAACTCTCAGTGGATTGGCGCCACAATGTCTCTGCCACAAGCAGCTGCAAAGCCAAGGTCACTGCCAAGTTTCTACCACGACGCTTTGCTGAAACCAGTGTTACATGTCCCCATTCAAACGAGGAAGACGCGGCAGGCGGTGTGTCCTGCGCTAGGAGCTGTACATCAGCGGGCATATGTTCCACGACCACCTGCCAATCCGTTATGTGGAGGGCCTCCTGGAGGTGCTGCGCGCCAAGCTTAGTCAGTCAGGCTGCGAAGGACTGTTGCTGAAATTGACCCGGTCATGGCCAGCGCGATCAGGTCATGCCATTCCGGGTACTGCGCAAGGCCTGTGCCTGAAGGACCGTGACTCTGACCTGCTGTCGTCTGAGAGTCTGAGACGATTCTGGTTGACAGGACAGGGCCGAGGAGCCGGACGCCCAGGAGACCGTCCGCAGCAGCTTGGAGGCGCGGTGCCCGCACTGTCACGCACTGTCACGCAGACACAGACCAGACTCCGAGAAAGGGTGGTCCTAGCAATTGAGAAACCCTCGAGGCGATGAAGCCTAGGATCCATCCGCTGTTACGACAGCAGGGTGGCACAGATGGTGCTGCCTAGTATGTCCGGTCAGGTTATCATTGCGAACTGGTCTGCCGGGCATGACACATCCCCAAAGGGCTGATGTGCGAGACTGTCTGCTGGATTCGTCATGAATTACAGCAGCTTCTTTTATCGTCTGCCACAAGGTGTCAGCAACGTCTGGCACGTTTGCAGAATCTGTCTTACACTGTAAACTGAACGGACGAGCATGACTCTAATCAGGGTCGTCATGGTCGCACCAAAGCCCATCAAGATTATGCACGAACAGGTTGGCAGCCATGCTCGCGGGGAGTCGGACCAAAATTCGGCTGACTTACTCTCCTCTTTTGTAGCAGCTGCTGTTTTCCCTCGGCCTCTGGCCGAGAAAGCCCATCTCCGGCAACCTGTGTAAGATGCTGGGGTACTCGAGTTTGCCCAGAGGTACCACTGCTTCCTGGGCACAACGAAGGGATTGCAGTGGAGTGCTTCGTGCGACTTCCGCGCGAGCACAAACGAGAGTCGTGCGCCGTGCCTGCGCAGTGCCCGAGTTTCAAGTGGGGTGATTCCTAGGCTGCCTTCCTACGGTGCAGGACATGGCTGAACCGGAGCACACGGCGCTGCTTCTCAAATGCTATACCAAGCTCAAGGATTTCACCACGCTGGAGGACCTGCGGCCGGCCTTCAGCGACTAGGATTTTGACGCGCGGTTCAGGGTTTGGGGCATGATGTTCGCTTCATATTCGGAGGACATCGGGCCTAGAGGCGTACTGCGCCAGTAGAAGAAAGCTGGACAAAGCTAACCAACAGTCAACTGCAAGGCTATCATTGAGGTACCCGGAAGCCGCACCGGAGGGGGGGGGTGGGCGGGGCTTGGTCTACAACAATGAAGTACCATACATTGAATGTCAGCCCGAGCATTGCTAACAGCTGGTCAAACAGGCCTGACTGCTGCAAGAGATGCTCATGCTGCTGTTGACATGACTGGCAGGAGTTTCTGAAAACCACACCACCTTCTCAGTACGACCATGCGACCGCCATCGAGGCAGCTTGCACTTAGACGGACTCAGCAAGCTTGTCAGGTCTGTGTAAGATAAATGGTGTTCCTTGCTGTCAGACACAACCGCCGGGTCCATTGCAAAATTTGCTTTGCAGAGTTCTCATTCGAGACCAGTGGGTTGCATTGCAGTACTGCAGAGCCCAGCAGGTGTTGGAGTCGGCAGCATACCACGGCCTGGCTGCAGAGGTGGCTCAAAAGGCCATGTCGGAGATGCCCAGGAGAGTCCAAGAGCACAGCACAGCAAAGCGCTGTGGCACAGTATGTTACGTTCACCGCCTGCACCCGGGTGACCTCTTGGACTGCCCAAGTTGCGATTGCATGTTCCTCAGCGCCACAGTGTCTGAAGTGCCATCCACGGAGACAGAGTTTTAAAGGATGCCCTCTGAGGAAGATGCGGTCGTGTTTGCACCCTGTCCAGGTGGGCAGTCATGACGACTTTGTGCGAATCTCTTTGGAGCAGTTCAAGCCTTGGGAAAGTGTTGGTAGAGCTGCGTGCTGCATTTATGTCAAAAAAGTACAGTACTGCCTCGAGGTTCAAAAACTACGGCACAACGGTCCAGTTTTTGCACTCCTTACCACGCGTCGAGGACACTGCAGGGTCAGACGAGCCTAGGCCAGAAGTCACAAGTCATGACGCAGCAGCCAAGCTCTGTCACGGAGTTGTCGTACCTGCTTGAGAACCCCCTGCCCTGTCCCAAAGTATCAATTAGAATCACTGAGTTCGCTATATTTCCGACGCCAGTCTTTCCGTGTTGTCAGGCAGGAAGAATACTGCTCAACTATGGGCGGACGCTCATGCGCCACGCACCTAAGGAGACGGGCAGATTGCAAAGGTTGGCAAAGTTTTGCAGATTTCATAAGTGACATCTGTCTCTCTTTGCGAGCGAGTGCGTAGAACGGACATGCGGCGACGACTTCAGGAGCATGACGCCGCCTGCATGTGCGCCAGGAGACCGTGAAGCTAATTCGCCACGTGTGCAACCTTCGTGGCCAGCCGATGGATGGCCAGGTGCGTTCAACGTCGCATTCGGAGTTTTTTAATTGAAATGGCCCTACGAAGATGTCCTGGTGTCCCCTGCAGGCACTCCAAGCTGAGAGCCAAGGCCTCCGCCAGTGTTTTAGTCCGATTGTCCTTCTGCCATATGACTGAATCCGAAGGTCCGACTGTTGACGAGCTGTTGCCGGTGTTTGCTGCTCGATTTGAGAAGTTTGGACAGCTCCGATACTGTATGTAGTCGCTGCGGCTTGTCCCTGAATCAAAGTTGCTCTCCCCAAGGCCGACGACCTGCAGCAGCTTGAGGCTGCGGGGTAGGGTACGGAAAAAGATGCAAAGCCTTTTTTTGCGGCCACTGATCTCAGGTCTTCCTCCGCTCCGTCTTGGTGGATGATGGCTGCCAGCTGCCGCAAGCCCAGGTCGGACTCTGAACGGAGAGATTTCAGTCATTTTGAGTCGTCTCTTGCTCCTGACAGAGGGGGGACAGGGGCAGCGCACTGCGCAGGCAGAGCGGCTGTTTCCGACACTCCTGGAGTTGTTGGTGCCTGGACTGATGCCATGCCTCGCCCTGGAGCGGTTCTTCGCTGCTTTGTGAAGGTGAAGTCGCACAGCTCTCTGCTCGCAGATGGAAACATCCCTGCCGAGAAGCAGGAGGCCTGCAAGCTTCGGTGGCTGTGATGAGCCTACCTCGTTGTCGAGTTTTTTTTCTTTCGATGCAGATGGCCAGCTGCATAGCGGCAGACATCATGCGGCTCATCCGGCAGCCACTCGCTCGCAGCGGCTATTGCAACATTAGCAAGGGCTTGGTCGGTTTCTGGGCCATCGAGGTATCCCAGCGATGCTGCTTTAGCCAACACCTTGATGGTCTGCCAGTCGGGCTCCTAGCCAGCTCGCGAGCAAGTGGGGGCTCGTCGTCACCATTTCTGTGCAGGGCTTTCGGCTTTGTGGACGGCTTCTTCCATGCTGCGGAGAGATTGCACCGACACCAGCTCCTGATGCAATGGTGCTTTGAGCACAAGGAGCAGTCCGTGCATGAAAAGCGCGGCTTGGAGCGTGTCCGGCGCAACGACGCCTGCTCTGTTGGGCTCCAGGATGCAAAGCGTCTCCTGGAAGTCTGCAAGCGATACGGTCCGGCTGACCAAAGTCTCTGGGTGCAGGCTCCAAATCCCCTTCGGCCCTTCGATCTGCCATGCCATGCGATGCCCTGCCTGTGCCAGCTTTTTGCTTCTCCTTTCAGGCGCTATCCTTCTTGGCCTCCCCGGAGAGCGGAGGAGGGCACCTCGAGGAGATGGGCGAAGTTCTGCGGCACATCGAGGAGAGGAGCTTGCTGCAAGCACTCCTGCTTAGGGCTTAGAGATTGAGCAGCCCCGGATTCAGCCTAGACAGAAAAACTGTGTAGACTGTAGAAAGCTGCTGCAACTTATTTGTGGAGCTCTTGAGCCGGATGGTTCACCTTGAGAAATTCGGGTCAGGACAGTGATCTCATGCCACTTCTGCTCGTCATCGAGACCCTCCGCTCCAGCAACGAGGAGGGCAGTGCATCCCATGGTCATGCTTAGTATAACATTGTCAAGGCATGTCGGGACGCAGTTCTTCCAGAAGCCCGTGGGAACACATAATCATTGCCTCAGTGCACTATCCGCCAGTGCTACAGGTGACCATCGGTGACGTCCGTCCATACTTGCAGGCAGCTTCCTTGCGGAAAATCATTCTGCAGCAAGGATCAGCATGCCTGTGCAGCTCATGACAGCGCCAAAGGCCCAGTATCGTCGGCTTGTCGAGTCTGCGGAGACGTCCCGGGCTAAATCGACTCAGGCGCATTTTGCCACAGCTTGCCCCTTCCGATTGCAAAAGGTTTAGTCCGTCCTGCCCAGCGGCCTGGCGCAGGATCGTCAGGAGATTGCTCGCATGCAGCAGGAGATCGTCCAGCTCCGAACGCAGGACAGGGGCGGCTTGTGAAACCCATGGAGTCAATTGGGTCGGTCGATCACTTGTTTCAGCTTCCATGGAGGCCAAAGAATTCCAGAACACTCGATGCTTCCAGACTCTTGGAAAGCGCTGGCATGATTCTGTATGGTTTCGGTTTAGTAGCATCACTGCGATTGCAAGTAGCAGTGTTCAAGACGATGTGACAACCTTGCAAAGTTCTCTCAGCACATTCCTTCTAGAAGCCGCCAACAGCCACCACATCTGACCAGCAAGCGTCCAATCGCGTCACAGGCACTGTTAAACAAGGCAGTTCCTACTCTCGAAAGGTTGTTGCTTTTCTACAGAATATGCAGATTCTGCTTCATATGGTGATGCCTATCTTTCTGAATGGGCTCGCTTGGGCTTGTGGTTGACTTACCATGCCATAGCTATTTAGGTCGCCTCTGCAATGTCTCGCCCTCACAGCAACTCCAACCTGGCCGACGAGCCCTCTGTCAGTGTGCCTACCGGTGTCAGACCCTTGGAAAGTGCCAGGTATTCCTCACGGGATCTCACGGGTATAGGGAGGCCATCCCTGCACAATGTACATACCCTAGATATTGATAACATCTTGGAAGAGGTGATATGGGACATCAAGCAAACAACGTGTGGCAGTCAAATGACAGGTCCACAGCGCAATAAACCACTGCAGCTTTGCGCCTATTCCTCCACGGGTGGGGGGAGGCAAACAGCAAAGCAGCACCCCACACGATTATCAAAGAACCGTGCCCACTCAAGACATGCCTGTATGCACAGTGACAGCGTTTATACAAGCACGCATGCCGAGCTTAACCACTAACCAAACCGGGCTGATGAAAAACACAGCCTTCACTACTCGTCGGCTGTGTCACTTAAGTATCTCTCCTTATGCCTTGCTGAGGAACTGCCAGGTCGGGAAGACGGAGTCGGGGTGGTCGCGTCCCTTTGGGGTGGGTTGGGCATTAGGCCAGCGCGCGCCACAAACCCTAAATACACATGACCCCTCTTCGAGTTCGCTGTGCTTGAGAGTGCAGCTTCGCCTGGCTGCCTGCCAGTGTCTTGTGTTGAACTGCTTTCTCGCTTCTGTTGCACCCGCCCGCTCGCCCGTTCATTTGTTCCATGACTTTGGCGACTATGGTTATCATTTGGCAGATGAACCCGTGTGTGCCCTAGTGCACTTCTTTTACAAGCGGGGTGATCCCCGGCCTTTGCTGTGTGGGGGGCGTGTTGTGCATCCAAACACCGTGCTTCCAGTGTCGTGCTAGGTTTGTGTGCGGTAGGGTTGCCAATACACAGAGTCGTTGCCGGTGGAAGTGGCCATAAGGTCAAGCCAGTATGCTGGGGAATCGCTTTCTGAGTACTGCACACAAGGCTCATGTTGATGCTCACGGAGTAGGCCGCGAAGGCCTCGCCGGGGATGCCCACCGCCACAGCCGCCACTTCGAAGCACCTGCCGGTACAGCTGGCGCGTGGAGGTGGTAGTCCACGTTGTTGAAAGGCTGTGGTGGAAGAACCACAGCACAGCATACAGGACGAGCAAGGTACGCATGGCCACCTGCTTGATTGTGCATCGGCGAAAGATGCGCATGGACGTGCCGACGAATGGGGCCGAAGCAATCCACCAGTCCCAGTAGAACAGGGCCCACCAGTCCGTCCTCAAGAGGTTGGCGCCTTTGCCGTCGTTCGGCCGCCCGCTTCCCAGATCCATTTGGAATTTGGGCGAAGGCATCGGTGTCGAAGGCAATCTCCAACGCTTTTGGCGCGCCCGCCATCCCCAGCCGCAACTGGGTCATGGCAAATTATTGGCGCTGGGGCCACCGACTATCCAGCGCTGCAGCTGGTGTTTTGGGCCCTGGTACAGAACCATATTACATATATAAATGTCTGTGTAGGCTCATCTACTTTGCATTTTCTAGCTATCTATGTAGACGCTGTTTATGCGCAGATGGATATTAGTAGGTCAAGATAAACAGGCGTAGATCTGGAGATATAGTCTGCTCAGACAAATATGGCCCCACCAAGTAGTGGAGCCGGAGCTGTCGGATGCAGTACGCACGATCAGCCGCGATTCTATCCAAGATGCCACGAGTTTCAGCCTTGGAGACGCAAAGTCGAATTTATTGGTATTCGCCCTGACATCGGCCGATCTGCTGCCCACGAACACAGACTAAGCGGTCGGGCACTCTGGTTCCCAGCGGCTTTTCAAAAGATGCGACACCTCATCGACGGCATAAGAGCTCCAGAGACCGAGGCATGAGGTGTCATCAGGAGCAGACACTCCGACATGAGCGCTCGAACAGAGGTCGTCTGTTTTTCTCCATGTTGAAGGATTGCTCCGGAGCTGCGGTGCTGCGAAAGTTGCGACATGCCGGGTTGCCAGCCAAGGTGTGGTTTGACTCTGGAAGTCCCTGCGGTGCACTTCTTCTGTGGTCATTCGAGCCTTGCCCAGCACATCATCCCATAGTTCCGCATCAGCTCATAGTTCATGGACTTGGACCCGAACTTGTTCGAGATGCCTTCTTTTTCGCGTAAACTGGTACAGGCTGGGTCAGAAGTAAGGGCAGAGACCAAATCTGAAAGCTTGGGTCAAGGTATCACGCTTACTGCGTGCCGCCGGATGGCACCTGTCCGAAGTGCTCTTCGGGAGCTCTTCCGAAGCTTTCACTAAAGGACCGCCTGACTGTTAAGTGGGGTCATGGGAATCTCCACTCGTCTCAGCATGATCACGACATACTTGACTCCAACCGCAGGAGCAGCGAGAAGCTCAGGCAAGAAATGCGGAGGCAGCGAAGCAGTTTCTTGCTAGGGCCGCTAGGCGACCCAAGACATTGGATCATTGAAATCGCGAGATGAATTTCACATTGTCCGAAAGGTATCGTGTTCCGAACATGTCTCCGAAGAGCTTCTACACCACACAACATCGTCGAGGCCACCCAGACCCTTTGATCTGCCAGGACTTCTTCAAGTACCTTCAGGGTGGAGCCGGTGACCGCGGCATACAGGCGATGGGAGAGTGGTACCTCGGCATCTATACTTGTACTGAAAATACTTATCATATGACACCCTTGATGCAGAAGCTGAATGCATCTGACAGTCAAAGGCTCCAAGGTTGTAACACCCGGCAACAATGACAAACCCCCAGCCCTGCTACCAGCTGTCAGCAAGCCTTCTCAGCGTGCTTCAAAGGTAGTGCGGACATCTACTCGTGAAATGAAGTGAACTCGCATGACCATTGCGATACCGTCGCCCCGCCCACACCCCTGCCTGTGCATTACAAGTAGTCGGCGTGCTGTGTACCCGACACTTCTTTGAGCGGATTTTGATGAGGTGTAAGTTTGGGGCGTTCGACGCCAGCGTGGCCAGCATGGATCTGGAGGACGAGGCGCTTCCTCGGTATTAACATTCTTTTGGTTGGTGCTGTAAACTGTACCGGCCCATGCTGGTGGAGACAGATCCTGATTCCAAGCTTTCCATGGCCGCAGGAGGATTGATAGCTGGACGACGTCTTGTACATCGTAGGCTTGAGAAGCAAGGAGGCAAAGCTCTTTCCGGAGGCTCAATACTTGTGCCTTCCTCCTGGCCGTTAATGAGAGGCGCAACCGCAGGGCCAGCCCGGTGGGATGGCACCACAGTGGTCCATCGCGCGTGCATACGTCCTCAGTAGCTATCCCGTCGTGCGACGACCACGGATAGAACTTAGCAGAAATCATCTCGCAGTGCCAGTGCTGATCACCTGGTGATGCACGTTCTTGCAGACTCTCAGCTAGTGAAAAAAGCCTTCTGTCTGATCGTGGCATATGGCAGGTGGCGATTCTCAGCCTCGGCTCGCCATGTCTGTTTTCCTTCTATCCGAAGACGGGCACCGAGGAGTTCGGCAAAGAGAGGGCATATGTTAAACAAGATTCTCGCACTGCGGCACGCGAGGACTGCATGAAGTGGGATCCTGCCAACGACGTGCCTGGTGGCTACCAGGCACAGGAAGTGCAACGAACAGTCGTGCCTGGAGCGCCCCTTTCTTTCTTCAGGGCAATCAGTCAGCCCAGAACACGCTCTTTGTCGAGCCAAGGCCTGCAGGGGCGTCGTAGAAGAGCTGGATATGTTAGATGGATGATTAGTGCTGGTGATTTGCCGAGTGGGAATTCCTGCCGAGAGGCTTCTCACTGTTTGCTCTAATACTTGACGTGTGCAGGGGCAAAGCCGTTGGTAACGCACGGTAACTTTAGCAGAGTTTTCTCATGCATTCATTGCCTTGGAGGAGTTTGCTGATCTTCAGTGCCCGACTCAGTGCTCATTGAGATTTGAAATGGCAACCGCAGAAACTCACTGCAAAACGCCTTGACAGGTCATGATGCTTTCTGGCACCATCGCCACGGCATCGACGCAGCGGCCGACTTCCTAGAGAGTCTGCACCGGAACACCCTGTATCATCTCGGCATCCTGCAGGCTGCAAGCCTGTAGTGGTTCATTCATGCTGATCCTTGTCAGGCATCCGAAGACATCCCGTCAAATTGTGTGAATTTGGAGCAGGCTGGGTGCGCTAGAAGGCGCCAGGAAGGACCTGGGCGGGACTTGGGAGCTTGGCTCAGGCCGCTGCCTGGGGCTACAAGCCTGGGGACCGGCTGGAGCGAGCTCGCCGCGTCTCCTTTACCATGAGGTGCGGGGGCACACCTGGGCCGGTGTAGTGCACATGTGTCCATAAGTCTTTCTGTATCGCTGCCGAGCACTGGAGGCATTTGCTTCCTCGCTGTGCTTGCCAGGGCTGAGCTTGGCAGGACTTCTTGCAACACTTCGTACAGCATTGCAAGGAGATGCAAAAGAAAGTCAGACACTATCCCCGATGTTAGGCCAACAGCCAAGAACATGTGTCATCGGCTGACATGTAGGGATAAAACCCAGCGGATATGCCGAAGCAGCTGTCCATCCGGATCTGCGAGCTGCATGCTGAGACTCATCGAGTTACTCAGATTCGGAAGCACGTTGCGGTCATCCAGCCACATAGATGTTTATGGCGAGCGGAGACGTGCACTCCGGATCTTTGCAAGCACACCGCGCGTCGAAGATGGCATGCCGGTGGTCACAAACTTTTTGCTCAGTTTTGTGTGCAGTTTCTGACCAGGTTCCCATGCAGCTTGGATTGTCAGCGGCAGTTGAAAAATCTTGGGTCCTCGTGTTCTCACTGACACAGAAAATTGTTCATGGTTGATGGGGTGAGAGGTGGACCGTGCAAGCTGTCCGGCAGGCCTCCCCATGACATGACGAAATGTGAAATGTGTGATCGGAATCTGCTTTGGCGTTTGGAAGAGGAAGTAGAACAACTAGGCCGCAGGCTTGTGGAGCCCTCGCGGATGGTGCTCCTGACCTTGGCCACCCTGGCCGCCGGTGCCGCTGGTGCCGGTGTGACATGGAGCAGGTGGCGCTCGGACCTGTTTTATTTGTGCAGGCAGGGTCCTATGGAGCCCCTGTCAGGTGTGGCAAGAAATCACTTGGACGGCAGATGAAAGGCTTTGCTGAATCCTTGATTAGCAAAGCCCTCGCCGGAAGTTCGTGCCTTGTCCAAGAATCAGAAATGGGCATGTTCCTGCTGTGGCTAGTATGTCGTATGTGCTCAGGTGCAAGCTGGGAGGTGTTGACTTCAAGCTTTCCGGCTGTGAGATGCAGATCGGAGTGTCAGGCGGTTGTCTCGCGGCATAGCATTGATGCAGAAGGATGGCTATTACTAGGTGCATGCAGACAGGCGTGGAAGTCGGAAACTTGCCTCCCTACAAGAGCGAGTCGTTGCTGAAGATAGCTTCCGTGTATTTGGCTGCCGGACGCTCAGTTTGGGCTGCACGCAGTGCCTCGGCAGTTGGACAACGACCCCAAGCCTGGTTCCAAAGGGTTTGATGCTATTAGAAATGCAAGCGAATCCTTTGCTTGGAGTCTCAGCCTTTTTAGGTCTTACTGACCAGCAAGTAGGACTAAGTAGGAAAGTGTTGCTTTGCTCATGTCGTACGACTCTGAGCTAGATCATCTCCCGGAGCAGAATGGTCAGCTGAGGTCAACCTGCAGAGTCTGCTGAGATCAGGCTGGCGGGGCTGGAGGGGATGCGTAGAGGGCTCCCGGCAGCGACATGAATCTGAGGTTTCAAGCAGGTCATCATAGAGGAGCTTCTTGTGGATGGCCTGCAGCTCACGGTAGAGAAGATACATCTCACCACCAACAACGTGAAGGAGTTGCTTCGCAAAATCGCGGAGAAAAAGTCTGACCAGTCAGGTGAGGTAGAGCAGCCGACAAACCAAACGATGATGGGCGCCTTGCCACAAGGAATGCCCACACTCAACACAGTGGCTGGCGGTGTGAGCAATGCCGCAGATGGCATGGCGCAGCTTGGCAAGGCAACTGCAACGCGTGTTGCAGCCATTGGACAGCCTGCCAAGAGACAAGAACCGAAGGATTCAATGGTTTGCTTGAAAAAGGTAGAGGTCCGAAGCATTGTCGTGCACTCGGTGAACGCAATGATGTCCGACAACAAGACGGCGAGCCTGTCGTTGAAGGCTCCACCCATCCGCTTCCTCAACTTCTCCGAGTCCCACGGCGTCCAGAATGCCGCCGACATGATCCAGCTTTTGCTGAGAGAGATCTTAGGCTCCGCTAGCCGAGCCGCGGCCTTGGACAGAGTCTTTGCGGTGCTGCGAACGCTGCTGTACAGATGGTGTTTGCTCCTAGCCGATGGCTCAACCGACAGCATGTTCTGCCCTGCCACTGTTGCCGTTGCGGCTATTGCCGATGCTGCTCCTGCTACTGCCCTGGGGCCCCTGCAATAGA